CAACCAACTGTCGCCAGGCCGTAAGCGCCCATAATCCAGCCTCTTTGGAATCAGGGAAATCCCAGGCAAGACCATCGACAGAACTTGGAAAATTTCGGTCATTCTGTCCACCGGACTGGCCCAAGTCGTGAGGATGATCGCTGAATCCCTGAAATATTCCAAAGTAAACATTAAATCTCCGTGGTTTACAGAACGAAGAAACATGAAGGTTTTAGCAGCAATAATGTATGGAAAGCAAATCAGTGAGTAGTTTTTTCTAGCATCGTTCATGTAATCCAGACGGTTTGTTTCTTATGAAATAAACAACGAACTCACTGGGCCGATGTAAAATAAGTAAACTGAGATGACAGAGTTCATCAGTAGACTATGTCTGATAGTGTCATAGTTTGTCAAAACACAGATCAATGATCGAAATTTCTAAGTTTTCTGATATGTAAAGGAAAGACAAAATATCACCTAGTGTTTTTCAATTCCAGTTGGGTCATGTCATGTTATAATAGCTTGATAGAGAATAGGCCAGGGTAATGAGGCAGATCTGAATGATAACAAGGTGGGCTGCAAGGGTCAGTGAAGGTTGCTTCGAAGGACACCGTAACCAATTAGGCAGTCGGGTTGAAATCGGCGGTCATTCGTAATTGAATCTGTCCAACGGATTCAGATAAGTACAACGGGACTTCACTTTGATTACACTTCTTCGTGTATATGATGATCTGTGCTAACGGAGTTAGGCTCCTAAGGAATACCCCACTAAATAGTACAACTGCCATCTGTCCCAAGTTGAGCGATGATGAAGAACCCTAAATAACAATAAAAAGAACAACAAACCAAAGGTTTCTTCGCGAAATTGTACAAATGAACACCCCCTCAGTGTATTTTGATGCATTTGGACTCACTTCTGGTAACCATCCAGTTTGCTTTACTTCAGTGAGAACACCTGGTAATCGACGCACATAAACTGACCCTGTACGGGTACCAACAAACAACTGCCTNCAACTGCCTTCCGTAACGGGAGACGTTAGACACTGTCAAAGTGGTAACCAGGGGCAAATCTTTTCTATCGGTATCTTCACTCGGTGCAATTGGTAGTAATAGGGTTAGTGTAATCTCATTGTCTGTGTTGATTCTATTGTTTGCACATGATTGCAGAGGTCTTGTACGGATAATGAATGTCGATTCTGTGGTCAATAATCCAGCTCTGGGCTGAGAATCGAGACAGGAAATCTTGACCAGGTATGGATGATCAGAACCGGGGATGAGCCACACTCGAGTGTTTGCTTCCGAGGCGAGAACGGTCCATTGCCAATGATCTAAATTCACTTGTGGGGGTTGACGTGGACGCGTGACCCGACGAGTTGAGGACGGTTGGTTCGAATGATCTGGATGTAAAACGCACCCATCCCAAAGCTCTTCTAACGATTTCGCAGTCAGTTGAGCCGAGGCGGGATCAGGACGGGAAACGGATTGCTCATCGAAGTTGGAATCAAACCAAACTGCGCCACACAAATGACCAATATAAGTTGTGCATCTTGGTTCCGGGGCAGATGTCCACAAAACTTGAAGCTACAAAGATACAGAAAAGAGAAAATGGTAGTAGGCTTGTTCACCGGTGTCGCAATCTGCGTCGTGATTGTACAAATGTGCAAAGACCTTTCTCAGAGATATGCGATTGTAAATTTTACCATACATCGCATTTAAACGTAGATATAGAGCGGAGCTTATATTCATGGTTGAGTGTCAAAGCAGAAACAATAAATGGAACAATTCGACCCTTATTTTCAATGGTTACCATTTGTTTGTGGCCAACCACAGTTCAGGAATTTGAAAATGTAGGTCAAAATCTACGGTAAGACNGTAAGACATTATGATTCCATAGTTTTCTCAAATAACAGAGCTTTCACCTTAGATTTCACGTCAGCGTCTGTACAGCGTAACACTTGCACCCTTGGAAGGTGCATAACAGACAGGGATAAGTACCCCGGAAGTAACCAGAATTGCAGAATACCAGGGGGCATTCAAAGTTCATCCATTAGGGTAAATTCAAATCCCATACATGAACAACAGATTTATGTGATTATTGAAATGAACTTTTCAACTGTCAGACGCATGAGTTGAGGGTGGTAAAAATTAGAGTAAGGCAGTTCCGATCAATAATTAACGGGTTGAGATGGTGGCGACTTCGATTTTCAATGAACTGGTATGGACTCTATTGCATGATACGCGTGTGGTTATGCAGATGCTAAAAATATCCGCGTAGAAGAAAAAAATGTGACGAAAACGTGAAACACATGCTTGCTATTTTATAATTTTCCTACTCTATTTGATCGGGTAGAAAATTGTTTGATCAGTTGTTTAAGAAGGATGTAGTGACAACCAAAGGACCATCTTGGGACAGAAAGTTGGGAGAAAACTTATTAAGGATGTTGAGAGTTGGAAGGCAGACCTCCAGGGAAGTGGAATGGATATCTACAACGTGGCACCCCGAATCATTTGTTCGTCCGCGAGAAATGGAACAAAAACACTAAAAATCAAGTTTTTCCAGCATACAATTAGACTGATACAAACTACCGTTCAGGGCAGAGTACAAATATCATATCATATTTTTGCTGTGTACCATCGGAAAATGGAAGCATACGGGAAACAACCTTTTGCACACTGATAGTTTAGTGTCTACCTCTTAACTGTACTCAAAGAACTGCAACCATCGGATGCGACTGAGTGAAACAAAATTGCAGTCACTAAATATGATTATAGCACGACTGGAACATACCGCGGGTGCATGTGGACTGCCGGCCCAAGTACCCCATCGCAAGCCTATTACCGTTTCCAAGGGTGTGATTTCACTGTATGTGGACAAAGTTGGACGTGAGTGCTGGACCAGGATTAGTTGATCCAAGAGGTCATCACTGTTCTCTTCTTCAACCGCATTATTGTATTCAGGTGGATCGTCCATGAAAGGTACGGGAATCCAATCGTCTGGACAGTAGTGGACAACCATGCCCTGGGCTGTTGGCGATGGTGGGAGGCTATCCGGAACGAATCCGGGTGGAGCAAAACTGAATGGCGGAGAATGAGAAGAATAGCAGACAGGGGAGGGAGGAGCTAGATCGAATAATCGATTGCTCAAACGATAAAGATGCTTGAATGAAGGCTAAACGGTTGGTAGCAGAACACCGAGATGCTAAATTACAGCAAAACATGCGGCGAACGGTAATTCAGCATGATCCATTACTAGGACAGGACCTATTTTGTGGTGAAATCGCGCCACGAATAATGCACAGACAGTATTTATTTATTTTATTCTACGTTATTATTCCTAAAGAACACGGTAGGATATAATGAAGGCTTTGGAAATGTGCAGTGAAATGTAAAAAGTGACTAATTTTGCTTGTAAATTAAACAGAGAGAGAGAGAGAAAACCCAGCATTCACGAATCACGACCAAAGCAGAGTAAAGACGAGCGAACAGGTAAGTTGCATCCGAGGTCTTCGGAACATCACGTTTTCTCGACGGGTGCATATCAAATTCGGAACACCCTAAACAATATCGAGTTGCATTAAGAAGAAATTGTATTAACATCACTATTGTCTCTACGTCGCTAATCGCTTAATGAACAAGATACCTTATCAATAGCCGTGTACCTGAAGTGGAGCGAAATTCTGTGAAATTCTCCCGCGTTTTGGATGAGCTGACCACAGAGAAGAAAGAGGAAGTTGTTGCTTACGTTCAGTCTATTGCAGACAAGCAAGTCGAGTGGATACGAAGATACTACGTAAATAATACGAAAATGCGTCAACCCTAACAAACTCATTGATGAGCTCCCTTCATATCCGAATATATTTGTCCATAATTTGTCATCTGTGAATTCGGATAAGACCTTGCTTGAAGTGCTATCTCTGGGACAAAATTCTGATGTCCAACCAATAAGCTTAAACAGTCAGATGTGGAGGTTGAATTTGAGAGCTTAGTCGATCAACTATCTCGACTGGTGCGATCTTCTAAGCAGGATTTGGAGAAACTCAAATCCACACTTGTGAANCTCATGTTACCAATATCGCTATCGTAAACCATCAACAAAGGGACTGATAACGTTGGAACACTTGAAGCGTTTCAAAGAGTTGCAAGACAATAGATAAGAACAGACAAAGGTGCAGGTATTGTGATTATAAAAAGTTCTGACTACATAGATAAGATGAGGGTAACATTCAATGACCCGTCCAAGTTTACAATGACTCGGACTGAAAAGGATAGGACGATTAAGATAGAAAAATCGATTTCCACGCAATAACGATATCTGAAGCAAAAAGGAATGATCGATGCACAAACATTCGAGAGAATACGATCAACGGATATAACAATTCCTAGGGTGCATGGACTTCCGAAAGTACACAAAGAGGGTGTCCATATGAGTCCAATTCTAGATATGTGCAATTCTTCGTATCACGCTGTTGCGAAATGGTTAGTGAGCGTACTGGAACCAGTGAGACTCGCAATTCGCAAGCACACTTTTCATCTTGTAGAAACTGTGAAGGACCTCAAACTCGAAGGTAAACAAATGATGTCATTTGATGTTACTTCTTTATTCACAAATGTGTCAATTAGTAAAGCTATCAATCGCACATGTGGATTTATTCCATGGAACAACAACGATTTGGGCATTCCATTGGATGAACTGAAACAATCGTTATTCGTATGCACGCACAACGTCCAGTTTTAATTCAGCGGTGAATTATATTGCCAGAAAGATGGGGCTACAATGGGGTGGTCATCTTAAGGACCATTATTTGTCGACACGTTTATGGCCAAACTAGAGAATGATCCCCTGGAGCCATATATCAAACAGTGCACCCTATATAAACATCATGTGGACGATGTGTTGTGAATATTAGACGCAAATGTGAACACCAATTGCTTGAGGATTTCAATAATGTCCACCCGAACACAAAGTTTACTCTGGAAAAAAGAAGAGGATAATAGTCTAGCGTTTCTAGACATACTCATAAGACGCCGCAGCGATAGCTCCGTCCAGTTATTAGTGCATAGAAAAGCAACGTGGAATGGACAATATATCCACTACATAGTTTTGTTCCTCTTCAGAGGAAGAGAAACCTAATTCGCTCTCTGGTTCAAAGAGCGAGGAAAATATGCACGAGGAATATTATCGATAATGAACTTCCTACGTACTGTTTTTGTTCAGAATGGCTACCCCAAAAGATTTATCGATAGGGCAATGCTAGAACACGAGGAACGGCCAAAGGAAATAAGAGCAGCGAAGAAGTCTGTCTATGTGCACCTGCCGTTCAAGGGAGATACGGAGGCAGAAGTCTTTCAAAGAAAGCTAACAAGTGCAGTAAGCAGAACATTTTACGCTGCACAATTCGAAGCTACGTTCACATCCAAATCAATTGTTTCCGACTGAAGGATAGAGTGCCAGATTCTGCAGCCTCATTCTATGTATACTCATTCACCTGTTCCAGTGGAACTGGGTACACTGGCCGCACGACCTGGCGCTTATCCGATCGCGTTCGCGAACACCATCCCGCTTGGCTGAGGACTGGAACAATTAAGATAATTACGAGCGCGGTGTGTTTGCATCTCCTTGAGTCAAATCACTTGGTAATTGTGGCAAGCGCGTTCCAACCGATTTGCAAGGTTCAATGTAGGCAATCAAGAACAGTGAAGCATCGTATCTTAGCCACGGCCGAAGCCGTAAATATTCGTATGCACACCCAGAAGAAATTCGTGCAAGCACTTAATCTCTTCTGTCCCACTTAATTCACTCCAACACGTGTGCAATCACTTGAACTTTGGACACTGTGATCAATTTCACGCGAGCACACATGCACGCACGACCCATTAGGAATCTCTTATTCCCGGTTTGTTCTTGTTGTTAGTCCTATTTAATGTTATGTAATGGCATGATTGCGAATAACTGAAAACGAGCTTGTTCGTCACGTTGTTGTAGTTCTCGGTGTTAAATATTTGCAATACGCGGTGAAGGTCAACAACACCAAACACACTGTGAGGCACCTTTTAGATATCCAGCCCAAATAGTGGAATTCCGACAAATCTGTAAGCCCTTGAATATACATTCTGAATGACTTCACATTGGATAGTTAATACAACGAATATACGGACTTTTCCGATAGCGATGGACTGATTGAAAATCGAACAAGGACGATTGATGCTTGTGATATGTATTCGTGCTTTTGTAGTACTGTGCTCAGAGCTCGTCTATGTTCATCATGAGTCCGCGTCATCCAATAAATACTCGGTAAGTATCAGAGTTCGTATGGCTCCAGTACCAGTACAGTTTGGATTATCATAGCTCCTTCATATCGTGAGTAAGATTTGAACCTAACAGAAGACCCAAAATAATCTTAAAATAGCGCGAACCCCGTAAGCCAAGCTACGAAGTTGAGTGCACTCGCAAGTTCTCATTCCACAAAACACACTTCAATGCAAGTTACACGACCAGACTGACTCAGATGCCAAAGATCCAAGTAAAATGGTCCTGATAATGGTGAAGGCAAAGACATAGTGTGAAAAAACGAACAAGGAACATGGTGCAACATATTACCGATTAGGATGTGGTCGACGTCGAAATAACTGTTTCGGTGTCTGTCCATAATTGCTAATCATGGCTTCCACGGCCTGTGCACGAATAGGATCACCGATTACATCCACATCGATTGCGCCGAAGTAGGTCTGTGCAGTTTCCAAAGGCGAAGCAAAAACGGGAAACATAAAGTAGGCCAGTGAGGAATGCCACAACGCGATAAAGTGTGTTTAGAATTTAGGTACGACCGTGGAGGGCGGAGGGTTATTTGAAACTAGACACCGGTCGTTTCCATCGAGTTCTAATGGTGAAAATCAATCAGTGTAAAAGCCCGGAAACTCGTGAATAAGGCCGGTGTACATCAACTTTGATTGCCAAAAGGAACACTGCCAATTGAATGCAATACGAATTCCTAACGAAGTCAAAGCAAAGCAGAGGCTCAATACATGGTAGAGACAGTATCGGCTCACGAACGACATAAATAGGCGACAGAATAGTAAAAAAACATAAGTTCATCCGTGTTAATGTTTACTCAGTTCACTTGCATACCACAGCAATTTTAGACGAATGATGCGGTCAGATTGTGGAAACTAAGGTTAACGATTCGCGTAGGTTCAGAATAGTGCTACCCTACTCCGAATATACAATACTCTAACTGCTAATCCGCATTCATCGGGATCGGATTTTGATTTGAATCATCGTGCCACACCAGATTTCCAAAGCAGGATCAAGATATCTGACACCAGCTACTGAAAAAATTAATTTTCTTTTGTGGATGCTAATAGTAGCATGAGCAGAAGAATGGGGAGCAGTACTGTTAGGATGAAGCGCAACGAACCCGTCAGGCAGCGCGTGGATCCGCATCACAACACAAATGCGCTCGCAACGCCCAGGGCTGTCGTCCGATCGACCAATTGGAGTGTCAAGGACGAGATCTGATTGGTGCGTCACCACGTCATCCTCGTATGCCCAATTTACTCACCTATATTTGCTTATCGCGTCATGATCAATAATACACTCTGACTTATTCTCCACTCTTGTTCTTTTCCCCCTATCATTGTTGAGGGCTAGGCAACAGGAGCTCGTATCGACCGCTCGTCTAGGCAGAACATAACAGATACCATAATGAGAGAGTTGTAACTATCCTTCCTCTGCTTAGATTGGCGTATCCTCACAAAGGGATTGGTATTCATCGTGTCATCCTTTCTGAAGTGGATGTGAACAAATTTCGATTTCACTTAGCATGAGACATGCGTCATGATTTTTTCGTCCTTTAAAGTATTCATTAATGATAAAACTCGGTGCGTATTCCCCAAATCGGTCGCCGTTTCCCATCAGAACAGAGATAATCTACCTGTGCCAATATCTTCCACGATACTCTATCAGACCAATAGTATCACCGATGTGAATCGCACAAAGAACGTCAATTGTCGGGGCTGGGACTCGAAGGGAAGGGGACCATTTCAAGCTAGACAGTTGCTCGCTTCGCGGAGACAAGGCAGTCAATTGATATGTTGTGGCCTGCAGCCCACCGAAACGTTTACTGCGCATGATTGACCGATGCGTCCTACCACTACACGTACGCACGCCCCGGGACTCCATTTCAAGGTCGGCCTCAGCCTTTCAGGTATCAATAGTGATCTGGCCTCAGTGATTGGTTTGTTGACGGCCCAGCTTAGTGTCCCGAGTTTGGGTGTCACTTGCACCAGTGCTTACACGTTCATTCCTTGCTTGCTCGCCGGTCTGCAGACCGGCTACACGTATGTGCATACACTGTGAATAGGCGAACAGCTTATTTCACCGCACAGTGATTTATTTGCTTAAACGGGACACAACAATATCATTTCGGCACTGCGTGTCGTCCACTTAGTCCTAATATAGCCTCGAACCAAGTACGATTAGATCACTCAAAAGCGCTCGATTCCGAGCGCAAATTTATTTTGTCGAAGAAGAAAATTATTGAAAACGTAAGTTCGCTTTGGCTCTACGACTTGATTGGAGAAAGTCTTATACCATGACTTTAAATAATTTTTTCCTGGAGAAAGACTGAGGTCGATCTAATTATTTTAACTTCACAGACTTCAATCCACATGAAGGAATCATTCGATTGATAATCGTTTTTAAACCCCGCTTCTCTGTTTTTCCTGCTGTATGTGTACAATGGTGTCATGAAATACAGATAAAAGTGACAATGAAATCGATATTGAGGGTGGGGCAATCTCATGGCTAACTCACATAAGGATGATAGAGATTGAGTGCTTCTTTCGCCCGACGTCCGGTCTGTTTGTAGCCGAAAATCAAATCGATCCAGGCGGGCAACATATTCGTGATGTAATCGCTTTCTAGTGCGGCACGACAGACCAAAGTGAACAAACGCGCGTTTCCTTTGGCCCACCTGTATAAACGAACAAGGTCGAATGATACAAACTAAATTATATATCTACTTATATAAATGACATACAACTGAGCCTCTCATATCTGACATGATCTAGCCAACAGCCAATGTAGCTTCATTGATCTGATTACATGTTTCTGTGAAGAATAAGAAACCCTCACCAGGGACGACCGAGATGGTCCTTGATGGGAAAGTGATTCCATAGATAGAACAAAGAAATGTCATAAGTTATAAGAAAATTCCAACTGTCTGTGTAGTAACTATGATCCTGTATATGAGCACGCATTATTTCTCAGTTCAGTTCAGTTTGTAAAAACATTAATCACGCATATTCGTGCGCCGGTTTTGGTAGCTGTCTTTTGGCTGCCCATTTGGATGAAGAATAGGAGAAGAAAGGAAAGTTGAAAGTGGAGTCGAACAGAAAATGGAGCAGTTCAGTGGTCTAAGGTTGCAAAGAAATTGAGAAGATGCGCAGACACGACCGTTTGCGACATCCAGCCAAATTACTCAGTGTCTCTAACCATCGGTTACGATCATCCCGAGGTCCCCAGCCAGGGAGCCTAACAGGACCTATGTGACCCAGTTTCCTGGTTAGGGTTTTCATCCCCTCGTGCCAGGTCTTAGCGTAACCACCCTCGGCTTTTTTCCACGCGGTATCTGTTTCGGCGAACATCGTTCGCCGTGGTAAGCTATCTGGTGACATGCGTAAAACATGTCCCAACCAAAGTAATCTAATCTATCGGCCAGTGGACGACCGCGGATGCCCAAAAATCTGTCTCTAATCTCAGCATTGCTCATCCGGTTACCCCACGAGATTTGTGCAACGCTATGTAAACAGCGATGCTCGAACACTGACAACCTATTTTTATCCTGTTCTCGTAATGGCCAAGTCTCTGCACCGTAA